CAAGGGTGGTTTCAATCCTGTCAAAGGCACTGCTGGCTCCAAATCTGTTCCTTTTTTTGGGTGAGAATTGAGAGATGCACCTCCCTGTTGGCATAATTAAAATAGGGTTTAGTACAGCAAGGGAACACAGAATTTTCTAGAATGTAATAGATGTGGAGAGTGACTCCCAGCGTCTAGCTTTCCACGAGAGCAGCTGCGTATCTGACTTAAATAGGCCACATTGTTAAAAGAAAAAGAAAGGGCACTGTGTGATTTCCTTAGCAAAAGATATAAATGTCCAGCAAACGATAGCAAGAATCACTCAGACCTAGGTCACCGAAGTCTGGGAAAAAAATTTAAGTTACACTTTGTTGCATTCTTTGCTGAGCACGGAACAAGCCAACAACTGTCACAGTCTGGAAAAGCCCACTGGCACCTAACTTGTTTCATTAGCTTCACAGCACATTGTGCATTCAGTGATTATAAGCCTCCAAAGATATGCATCATCCTCTTTTTCCCCCTGCCTTTTTTTTTTCTTTTCTTTTTCTTAAAGACTCTGAGACTCAGATCACCTGAGCAGAGGACTGGTACTGGCCTGAGGATACTCCCTCTCATCCTTTAAATCTAATTTGAAGAGGTACTTTTCCTGTTTGGGGGCACAAGAACTGGGCCATGCCGAATCATCTAAAATTAGAAGATTCAGCTCACAGGCTGCTGGCTTACAATGCTACTTATTCACTGACATAACACCAAAAGAAACAGAACTGTAAGGTTATTAGCACTGAGTTTGCGCTGTTTCTCTTACATTACATGCTATTTGGGCGGAGTCCTTACATGGCTCTGTTTACGTACACTTCCAGCACAAGTAATCCTGATCAGAATCTCTGGCTACTCCCATACTAAAGATAATACAAATAAAATAGGACTATTCTTGCTGCATCAAAGCTCCATCAAAACCATGGAGTTGATGGCTAGACAAAGCCAATCCATATTAGCAGAGCCCTGGTAAGGAGAGCACTCCACGTAGACACAACACACCATGCCCTAAAAGCCAGATTCCTAAGCAGGGTATTCTGAAAGTTGCTGTGCACACATGAACACAGATACTTTGCATACTCCAGGCACAGTTATCACAGGCTTTTGCTTAAAAACATCACCATCATCTCCATCCTCATTACTAAAGACTAAGTAAAATTGATGAGCGAATCTCATGATGAAAAAAGACAGACCTGCTGCTGTGATACAACACAAACCACTGTGCTTGACTTAACACTTTATGCCATAAATACAAGCACCAGTAGCTCTGCTACTCTCATAGTCAATGCTATTGCCAGTGAGCAAGATTATTTCATTAGCAAGCAAAAGGCAACGAAACACCTTAGGCTCAAATGGAGATCCATAAAGCACAAGACCAAGTTAAGACCTCAGATGAATCGTGGTCCCATGCATTCCAAGTAGTCCTCCATAAAATCTACTAGCCAGGACACATGAAAAGACTGAGGTGTTTTATGTACACATCTGGAGGTCGACCTCTGACATGGAAATTCTATGGACCCTAAACTAAGTCAAAGAAAGGCCTGTTTTTATTGTCTTTTTTTTTAAATGGAGACATTATCTAGAGTATCTGACACAGTAGTGAATATGTAACAGAGTCTTTTCTATTTTGCAAGCTAAGCCGTCTTCGCGTGTGCTGTTTACTACTAAGCAGAGTGTTCTGGACTGCTTGTGAGCAAGATCATTGAGGAGAGTTTGGCTGCCGTGTTGTGAAACTTAACAGTGCCCATTGAGATGGGGAACCTGACCATGACTTCAAAGCAGCAGGTCTTCTGTCAGCAAGAGCTACGCAGATGGAAGAGTGAAGAGCACACCTGGACCAGTCTCTGTGAGAACACTGGTCAGAAATCTCCAATTTTAAGGTCGTGGGTACAAGATCTACAAGATATATTTGCACGCAATTCCTCCCAAATGAGGTCAAAATATTTTGAACCCTCTTTCAGTGCCGGTTCAGAGAACTAGCTCAGTGACTCAGTTGTGAGCAAGGGCTTTAAAAGCATAACATCTCATCTGTGCTTTGATACTACCTTACTACATTTTGCATTCACATTAATTCACATCATTCATATTAGGCACACACTTTTGCAGTATGTGCATTATCATTCAGTAGATAAATTGAGACAAGAAAGCTCATCCAAAATCAAAACCATAATCAGAATGAAGGACAGGATCTGTAATTACATCATGTGGCTCCCACTGCAAAGCCACACAGCACCTTTCCTACCCATTCACAAATGTAGAATTTCTGACAGGTGGATATGATCAGAGCAATTAACCTAACCTGAACACAACCTCAAACTTAGGTCACTTAACATATAGCTACTCCTTAATTGACAACCTTTTTTTGTTTTAATTTTAAAAAAGCAGGAAATGAAAAATACGATATGCAATCAATACAGGGTCAGCTGTAGGACACCACTTCATGTGCACTTGGTACTGTCGCACTGGACAAAGTATGGAAGGATGGAAACTTGCCAAGAAAAGAAGTCATGGGAATACTGCTGGACCACTCATTTTGCATAGTACTGCTTCCAAAAAATGTCCTTAATGACTTTGGACTTGTTGTACAAGCAAAGCAATGTGACAAAGAAGACTCTTTGCTCTCCTTTGAGAGACTTGGCCAACATGGCTAACAGGGTATCTGAGCCATATTTTGGCTGAAAATAAACACCACCTCCAGCTCCTGCTCCAGCAGACAATCCTTTTGAAAACAGATGTAACAGTAAACATTATGGAATAAAGAGAATTAAACATGAAACAAGAGCTAAGTAACCTAGAAGGGCATTTTCTGAAGCACATCTAGGTAGAACAAGGAATCCAAACTTGAGAAAGCAAGTGGAACTACAATGGCATTAAAACACTTCGGTACTTCACAGTTCTTGGCTGCTTTAGGGATTGGAGAGAATCAAATCATAATTTCCAAAGACAGCCTAAATATGTTAATTGGGAATTTGCAGTTCCATATCAGGAATGTTTCCCTGCCCATTAATCTCTCTTACAAGTCCCCTGCAGAAAGAGCTGTTAAGGTCTTCAAGTCAATCCCTACCTCAAAGCTGTTTTCCATCTGGCACAGGATCAGCACTCAACAGCGCTCTGACCCGTTTTCTCAGCCATACAGGAATGAAAGCAGATCCTGAGGGGTTTTGAAGTGATGAATTTTTGGGGTGAGCTTGAGAGACTGATCTCTATTTTTTACATGACTGTACAATGATGACCACCGAATTCAACAACTGTATGTCAGTGCTGTAAGATTATAAAATTTCTACAGCATTTTTTAAGGGCAAAAAACCAAAGTCTGACAGAAGACAGAATTCCAGTATTTCTGCCTCAAATGCTTTACTATCTTTAAAGCTTACATAACAAAAAAGCAGAAGTATAATTCTCTCATTAAAATACTGAAATTTCATAAATAATTGTGAATCTGAATTAAGATACCCCTAGTGGCAGAGATTCTTAAGGCTTTGTTTTTCCCTTGAGTTTGAGAAAGGACTCGCCTAAAGAAAGCAGTAACGCTTATGTAACATGGAAAAGAACTAAAGTGTAAGGGGCTGGAAGACCTCAAGTACTGTAAGAATATTATATTCCCTGGTGTGATACTGCTATTAAGTACCCCACTTTCTTTAAACACAATCCTAGATAGACTTCACCCTTTTTTATGTGGCTTTAGCTACAAGACTGTATATAAAATTACCAGGGGGTAGGTACAATCTTGAAGGAAGACGAATATAGGGTACTCAATACCATAAAAAGGTATCAAATTCAACTGACATTTACAAAATGTCAGGTAAAAGGAATGAAAAGTCTTTCTAGTAATTTTGCAGTTAGTTAAGAGAAGAATCACTCGAAGAATTAAGGATCAAAACTGTGGAATATTTTCTATGCTTTTTTTTTCAATGTAATAGAAAAATTCTACATTTTGCCCCCAAATGGAAAAATAAATTTGGAAATGGATGTTCTTTTCTGTGTACTAAAGCAAAAGCTAGTATTAAATTCCAGAGAAAATATACTTGGAATTTTACTTATGGGTTAGTTACTTCCAACACATGGCTTGCTGAGCTTATAATATCTGTAGGATTTTATGTTCCTTTCAATCCTCCTCCTCTCCCTCTGAGCTCTGCAATTCTCATCACCCACGCCTGCAAACTGTGTCTAGTATTTGAGTCTTCTCCTCCTCCTCACACACTTACTCTTTTCAGACATGTGTTTGTAAAATATAAAGATTTGAATAAGTTTTCACTTTTAAAATAGACAAAGATATTTCTAAATGTATTTCCAAAACTATCTTTAATGAGAAGATGCATATAGCTTATTTGTCCTCAGAGAGATACTACAAACAGAATAAGTATTTCAGAAAGTTGAATGATTAAGTTTTTATTTTTTCTGCTCTTCAAAAATTTCTAAAAATATTTCAGTTTTACTGTGTTAAAACTAATTCTACAGAATGTTATCACATATTTTACTAATAAACTAAATTCTTTCTCTTCAAAGTTTAGAATCTAAAGCTGTGATTTGCAAGCCTAATCTGATGAATGTTTTCACTGCACTTGGCAAGAATTTGAAGTATTTCACTGTTTTGCTACTTTATGCAAGAAAAAGGAATGGAAACACAGCAAACAGTTGCATAGATTCTAAGACAGGAAGGAAACATGCAGTTGTACTATTTCAGTTAGACTTTGACATTTAAAATACACATGTATTTCCCTCCAAACTTGCGTATGTTTGACTTCAAGTTTAAAATGCATCAAATGAAAATTAGAAATGTTTTCCAAAATACTTCCTTTTGATTAAGAATGCTTGAGGAATTGAAATAAAGGGGAAAAATCATCAGTAGTTATCTGATATGACATAATTTACAATAATATATTTGTGTCAAAATGTCAGAACCATCCTCATCGGGTTTTCTTACTAAATAAACAACTGGTTTTAGAAGGTTTAGTCTTGTAAAATACACATTGTATTTTTCTTACCATACATGCTGTACTCCAGATATCAGCAGGTGTACTGTAACCTGCTCCTATTAAAACCTCTATGGATCTATATTGTCTTGTCTGGATGTCTTCTGTGAAGTGTTTATGCTGAAATAGAAAGAACCACATTAATGGAAAAAAAACGAACAATAAAAAGGCCTGTTCTAAATAGTGAAGGCTAAATAGCTAAAATGATGTAGTTATACTTACCACCCAGCAGGCATTCCCCAGGTCAGCAATTTTAACTCTAATTTTATCTGCATTTCTTGGGTCCAGCGGATTCACCAGTAAGTCAGCAGCACGAGTTTTCGCTAACACAAGCAAAATGCAGGATAGTTAGTATTTTGAACATACTATTCATTATCTCTAAGCAGTTTTGCCTTGACACTTTATCCAGTTTTGTAATACATTGAAGACATCAAAATCATTTGCTGAATATTATGAGAAATTAAAGCAACATAAATAGGAATTCTTACCTTACATTTCAAGTGCAAATATTTTGCATTCTTTAACTGCCAAATGACTATTACTAGAATATCCAGAGGAACTTCTAAGCAAAAGCAGTGCATATGTTTCCAAGAATAGATTCAGACAGAAAATGTTAAAATTCAAACTCCAAGAACTCCACATGAAAGATACATTCTTGGAACAGTTTGGTTGAGAAAATAAATTCTGCACTTCCATTCTTGGCTAAAGCAAATAAAATTTGGCTGGATTTTTTTTTCCTTTTTTTTTAAAAAAAAAAAAAAAAATCTGTCCCAAGGGGAAGAAGACTTACTAAAACCTGGCTAATTTGAGAGCCTAAGGGACTGTCACCCATTTCACAGATAATTCAGCATTCAATCAAAGTTCTCTGGAGGTCCTATTTGCATTGAGTATGATCCAGACTAAAAAGGCAGACCTTTAATCTAATTAATTCAATCAATTAATGCAATCTTTAGAGGCTCTTGGGACATTGACGACACTAACATATGACACCGGAGAGCTGCTGCTTTTCTTTCTTTTGACATATCACCCGCTACCTCCTAAATCGCACTGGAAAGAAAGCAGATTGACCTGAATGTGGAAGACAGAACCAGATATCACAAATCACATAGCAGCAGAGGATTCGCCTGTTTCCTTGTCCCAAAGCTACTAGTGGTAAGGTAAGAAAGAGGTACTAGATCCAAAAGGCACCTGGGACTCCAGTGGGGATATAATGAGCTGTTAAAGTGGCATAAGACTTGGAAGAGGAAAATACACCAGACATGGGACAAGGAATAAAAATACATGATGTCTAATGGTGACTTAGGAGTGGCTGAAATCAGATGAGGATCTTCAACAGCTGGGACAGCAAGCCTGAATGGGCCATCAGGGCACTGAAACACTGGCCAATCGGAAAAGAAAGTGGCAGGATCCACCGCAGGACAGACAGACAGAAAAGACAGGACTGAACAGCAGAAGACAGCAGGGGCAGTCACCTCCACAGAACAGTCCTCTAAAAAAGCTGCAATGGAGTTTGAGACTCAAGTTTTAAAAAAGCACCAATATAGGGCATAAACATAAAATACACTGAGAGAATAAGGCTGCAATCCAGCACTTAAAAGAAGGAACTAGTAAGCTTACTATTAAAGTCTTCCCTTATGAGCATGCTGTGTAGTACAGTCTAATTTTTTTTTTTTTTTTTTTTTAAACACAATCACATGCATTATTCAAGAAATAACAGGACCTTTCTCAATTCAGTAGCCCGGGGGAAAAAAAAAAAAGATAGTGCTAGATAAATCCTTCCCACACATCTTGTTGAAGGTGAAGGACTTCAGTAAATAAAGCAGAATGAAGGGGGAAAAAAGCCTCATCAGTAAGACATCTGAATATGACATTAGAAAACAGCGTTCTTCAACCTTCTTCTAACAGAGGGACCTGACAAGGTGATAGGCAAGTGGCTACACTTTTGTGTTTTTCTCAGGAACTCATGAAGTTTATGTGCTGTATTTTCCAAGAGATGAATATGAGACCTTAGATTCTGAATTTGAAAAACGCGGATCATTCACAACTGAAGTCAAAATGAACGTATTTTTTAGCAAGTACTCTCAAAAAAGCATCCAAAGGAGCTGAGCCTGAGCACAAAATTAGTGAGCATTTCTGATTTTCACTTTTGTGTGTCCTAGTTCTGTAAAACTGAGAAATATCACCTCCTCTTCTCACAGTCTCAGCATGATAGTATACTTTAAGTAAACATTCAAACACTGGAATGAGGAGGAGAGTCATGAGGAAATAAATAGATCTATCTTAAGGGCATTTGGTCACAAAGTAAAAACTTGAAAAAGACAAAAACTTAATAGCTGCTCATCCACTGAACACAAATCGGTCTGTGCACTGAATGAGGCAAGTATCCTGAAAAAATAAGATGAGACCAAGTTAATAATATATAGCAATGCCTAGACAGAGAGGAACAAATAAAGTTTACTTCTCTATAAGAAAAGCACACTAAAGTCATAATGAAAAAGTAGCACCATTTAAAAATACTGAATAGCCTGCAACTCTTATCTTCCTTCTTTCTAAATACCTTAATCTGTTTTATTACTGTTTAACCCAACATTATTATTGATGCCATTAATATTAATAACATTCAGCTTTTCCTCTTTCTGAGGAAGAAGTAAACTATGGCTGAATTTACCATCTTTCTTCTTTCTTTGCACAAGAAGTCTGTGAATTGCTCCTGACGACATAACATCAAGGAGGAATAAAGCAGGTTTGTTTCTCCAGCTATGGAGATAACCTGCTCCCATGATGACAAAACCAGCTTTACTCTCTAGAGGCATGAGTATTTTACACATCGCCCCAGGGAAACAGCAGTAGAGGCTTTCTGCTTATACACTGCCAGCAGCCCAAAGGAAGAGCTTACCAGGTGTCTAGGAACCTCTTGTACCTTGTTTAAGGGAGTACAGAGTGTAAGGAGATGGACGGGAAGAGTTATTAGCCTGGATCTTGACATTTTCCAGAAATACAGCTCTACTCAGTTGTATTTTATTTCACATTTCTTGCCTACCTGCAGATGACCTTACCTGTCAGACTGCAATAAACTGTGTGAATTGCTCTTCTAAAGTCTTAAACCAAGAAATACACTCGGTTCTATTTTTCAATACATCTCTATTTAAATTTAGTAACTTCCTCTGGGACAATGTTGATGCAGGCTTGGTGATCTTCTCCTAAGCTATCTCATTTTCTCCTATCCGCTTACAGATTTAGTCTCTTGGTATTTCCTTTATTAAAGTTGTACCCACATATTTATAATCTAGCCACTGGCACTCTAAATAAAACCTATGTGTAAATACCCTGGAGCTATTTAATTCAATGGCAAAAATCTAGCTCTTCGCAACGACAACAAAATTTCACCTTCCATGTCTTCAATAAACGGGATTTACAGGCAAAAGTTTTGGATCTGAAGAGTTCTGGTGGCCAGAATTTAAATGTCCAAACCCACACTGAATACAGAAAAGCCACAATGAGTTGAGGGTTGGCAACATGCCTTACTGAGAAAAAGAATTCATCCTGAGTTTTAATAAAAGGTTAAGAGAGGAACTGTTTAAAACAGAAAAGAACCATTAATGAATGAAAATACAGCATATTACAGAATTTTTGAATATGACTGAAAAAAGATAAAACACAAAGTAATAGATAGAAGCTGCAGCCAGACAAATCCAAACTTGCTACAATTCTTCTGAAACAATTCTGAGTACTGACCAGTGGAACACTGGTTTCAACACACTCTATATTTTTAATCATTTCATTTGTCCAAATCAAGAGCAGGTATCTTTTTGGAAAATATGTTTTAAGCCAAACATAAAAGTTACTGGGCTTAACAGATGGTGTATTACTGGCTTGTTATAAACAAATTCAGGTTACATGATCTCATGATCACCTTCTGCCCTTTAACTATGAGAATAATGCTTACTTGCCCCTATAAACTGCCTTTTCTCTTCCCTGTGTAGACTGACCTGTCAATGCAAATATTTAATCTACAATAACTTATCCAATATCCTTAAAAACAAGTTCTTCAGCATTAATAAATAGATAGATAGATAGATAGATAGATAGATAGATAAAATGACAGTTCTGATTTCCTATTAAAATTTAAGATGGTAGGTTTGTTTGAATTTAACAAGAATGCCTTTGTATTGTGTTCCAAGTGGCATCTATCAAACTCCCAGGTTTGAATGCAAGAAAAATCATCCAATTTACTTAAAGTAAGCTTAGCTAAGCTACTGCCTTTAATGAGACTACTACAATTTTTTCTTACTCTAACTACTGCCTTTCTATTGCACTTATTTGCCTCTTTATTTTAATGTAATACACACCCATGCTACTAGACAGAAGTCTTCCATCAACTCACAAGTGCTTTCCCCCCCCCTCTATTTCTAAAAGCTATTCAAAACTAATACATTTGTTTTTCCTTGAAACCTGGTCCTAGGAGGTCAAAATTCACCAGAATGCTTTGGGACCAAACCACTTAAAAGCTGCCTCTTCATTTCTAGATATCTGCTCTGCCTTTTTGCCAAAAGTCTTCTAAGATGAAATACTAACTTTAAAACAATCATAACTGAGATTTTGCATTCACATGATGTACAATTCAATGAGCAAAGTGTTCAGCGTAGATGAAACCAAGAAGATGAAATCAGTCAGCAATGAAAAAAGGGTTCCCAGTAGTGGGCTGTAGCTGTTACCTAACCTAATCGTGGTTAATCTGACCCCATACCCCACCTCCCTCCCCAAGTCTGGGGAGCACCTAGGAAAGAGAGCATTTGGGAGCAGTCTACACAGATTTCCCTGACTGCAGAGGCACACAGGCACCATCTTTTCAGTGGGCACTCTTCAGACTTAAGCATGAAGCAGGCCAGGACATTAGGAGGTTTGGCACCAACCGAGAAACTAAAAACACTTAAAACACTTCACCTGTAGGTAAAGTCAACGTCACTGAGAAGTGCTAGACCTAGTGTTCAATCAAAGTCAGGGAAATGGTGTGACAGAGTTCTTGTCTGTTATGGAAAGATCCTTTTGTGTTATTGAAAGAAGTGTATGACAGCCTACCTGTAAGGCTTGGTACTGCATTTTCACCAAAATACCCAAAACACATAAGAAGTAAAATCTGCATACACGTGTCACTGAACACAGATAAAACATATACATAAGGTTTAATCCCACTGCTCATTCTACATAAGACATCACCTACAGCTCCAAGAGACTTCAAGCATGGTATACGCCTCTAAGACGAATACTTACTTTTTGGCAAATCCCCAGTGCTTGAAGCTGAAACTGTTCTGCTTCTGTCATGAGATGGGCTGCTCTCCTCCCTTTCAGTTACAGTTGATCCTTCAGAAACAGCAGAACCACAAGCTACAGACTCCAGAGCCCCAGAGAACACTGAAGCTGAAAATTCAGAGAACTGTGACTCAGGAATTTTATGACGTCCGTTTGGCAATTCACCATTAAACTGTTCATAGGAGCTTCTATAAGAGTAATCACTTTTTGCGTTTGGCTCATCAAGATTATACTCCTCTGGATTTGGACATTCTTCCTCTTCGTCATCTTCATCTTCAATCTGTTGTTCCAATAGGAATGGGCCGTTCACAATATGGCCATTTGTTTTGGGGGATTCTATCCACTTAGGGTCTGTAGGGTCAGTGTTGACAAGTTCCTGCTCAACGTCATCATCTTTTTCAGTGTTTTCTTTCTCCGTGTCTTCTTTTTCATCCTGATCTTCTGCTTCACCTGAAGAATTTCAGTGAGCGACACATTAGATCATACATCAATATATCATTTGAAATTACGCATCATAATTTTTAACTCTTCAGTAACTACTTGACTTCTGACACATCACACAAGGAAACACTGAGTATCACTGAAATATGCAAAGACCTTAAAGATCTACATTAAAGGCAAAAGAAAGAACTAATAAGGCTGTTGGAAAAAAATAAACAATGGGAAGTGGTTCAGGAGGGAAGAATTCAGAACAGAAGAATGTTATGAAGGGAAGATATATGAGGTCTTGAAAGTAAGCTTTACAAATCCGTAACTCCATCTGTGTCAAACAGAGAGTCGTCATAGAAGTAGGAAAATTTGCAGTAAGAGCAGAACAAAACTAAACCAAAGCAAATGACAGACGGTCTCAGTAATTACATTTTTATCAGAACTGGAGAGAGTTGACAAGAAAACCAGGGAAGCCAGAACAGAGTTGGACCATAACAATTATGCTCCAAACCACTGGAACTAAACAAGAAGACATCTTAAAAATTTTAGTGAAGAAGCTGCAATTATTATTACCTGAATAGATCATTACAACAAACATTGTAACAAGAAAAGGGGAAAGTAAGGATGACTGTAACTACATTTATGTTACAGAATACAAATTCATCTTATTTTTCCTCTATCTCACCAAGATACTTGGTTGTGCCACTTAATGTGGTAGAACAACTGACTGTTCTGTTGAATTTTCTGTGTGCTCTTTTGTGGGATTTAATAGCTAGATTGCTATTGATGTTTTTATTCACTTCTATAGTAGGTTTGGCTTTTCCTTTTTAGACTTTGTAGTTATAATTTTAACTACAGGAAAAAAATGAAACTTAATGATCTAGGGAAGTTTGGAGACTTTGTTCATTGCATCAGATGCAATGCTGCAATTACTTTCCCCACTGAAACAGTAAATTCAGGGTCAATAAAAGCAGGTAATACTAACCATCATCATTTCCAGGTTCTTCATCTACTACCTCTTCTATATCAGCTGTTTTTAGTTTCACCTCTGGGTGGTACTCATCTTCTTGTTCATTTGATGGTACAGCTGAGGTTACATTTTCTTCTATTTTTTTCCTTTCAGCTTCTCGCTCTAGTTCTTCTATTTCCTGCAGGCGTTTTTCTAACAGCTCAGCTTGTCTCTTCTGTTTTTTCTTCAGTTTTTTCTTTTTGTTTTTGGATATTTTTCCAACCTGAAATATTAATACAAACAAAAGAAAACAAAAAAACCCTAAACAATTATTCTCAAGACGTCTCACAGCAAATTCACTTGCAGTATAATTACTTTTTATCTGAAAATACTGGATGGCAATTAATGTAGTAAATATATTGTTTTTTCCATTTTACTTCAAATCAAGAATGATGTAGGGTTATATGAAGAAAAAAAACTATCAAAATTTTACATGGTTTTACATGGTTGTTTATTAGATACAAGAGCAAAATAAATCTAAGATGCCACAGTAAAATTCCTGTGATCCTATAATCTTGACTAGGCACAATAATAATAAACTTCAATCTAGATTAACAGATGATATGGTATGTAGAAGATAGTCTACTATCCTATCTAGTTATTTACATGTAAATTTTATACATGATTTCTCTTTCTGTACAATGCAGGTAAGGACCAGCAAAAGTATGCTGAGAAAAATGGTATGAGAAAGCCAAAAAGATTGGAAACGGTGAAGGATTTTAAATAAATGCTGTCTTGTTCAGCTGTTTCCCTATGAAAGGAAAGCATTTTTATTATTCACTTCTGGCCCAAAACATATGAATCACAAACAACAGATGGCCATTACAAAAAGTTTCACATTTTATATAACATAAGGATTAAAAAACTCAGGTACAAGAACAAGGAAAATAAAAGTTAATACATCTGAGCTAGGATTGAAACACTTTCTTATATTTTAACGGAATTCTGACATATTTTTTCTATTTGATAAATGAGATCTATCCAGTTTTCATTCATCGTTTAGATATCACAGTAAGAAATCTGCCTGTAATTAAAAAATAAAGTACAAGGAGCAAAGGGAAATAGTATTTTCTCAAAGGTTTATCTGTAAATCCTGTTACCTTCAAAAGAAGCTATGGGACAGTCCAGACAGTTAATTTGATAATCCTATTAATTTTCATCCATGTTGTATGCCCATCGAAATTATATACATTCTGTACACACAGATGTAGAAAGCAGGTTTGACCCCAGACATTTCTAAACAGCTGTATTATCAGTGGTTATTTGCTAGAGGTATACAGCAAAAAGATCTTTCAAAACTCAAAAAACCCTCTCCTTTAAGGCCTTGATGATTAAGGCCTTGAAGTCCTTAAGCTATCTGTAATGTGTGATATTTAATGCATGCACCCATTTTTTGTCAGGATTTGAATGGAATGGATTATTCCTCAAGAGATGAAAATGGCAATGCTTAACTTTCTTTGACATAGCTATAGAATTGTAAGTCTATGAGAGTTTCCATCAGAGAAATACCATGTTTAAAACTGGTAAGGCCAAAGACATTAAAAGAAAAGTGTCCTTTGAGAGATAAAAGCTTTATTCAAAGGAAGCTTTTAAAAAGGGTAGAGACTACCAACAGTCTAATAGCTACTAATACCTACAGAAACACAAAAAATAAGATAGTTAATTTGAATTATATAACAATACTTACAGGCTTTTGTTGTGGAGCTGTACTCACTAGAAAGAAAAAAATAAAATTTTAAAGATTTATTTTTACAAAAACAACTCTATAAAAGCAGAAAGTAGTAGAAATCATGTAAAAATATTCTTAACCAAATATAAGGCAGTGATTTTTTTCTTTTATTTTTAAGTCAGAATTTTTACTCTTTACAAGTACCTGCTGCCTGAAATCATTTGATGTCTCCATTAGAGCATCTGGAAATGGAAGGAGCTAGCATCAATTTCTGTTCACTCTGTTGTGGTTGGAGGAGAGTTAATGAAAGTCAGAAAGGAAAGTCTGAATCAGTAAAGAGTGGACAGAAAACATTAAATCATAGAATCATAGAATCGTTTAGGTTGGAAAAGACCTTTAAGATCATCCAGTCCAACCATTAACCTGCACTACCAAGTCTACTCTAAGCCAATCAACGGTAGACTAGACTAAATCAAGGGTAGACTAGACTAAAAATGACTGCAGAGTTGTCACAGATTAAATGTATGTAGTCAGCTGACTGAGCAGGTATATAAATAGATTTTAAATAGTCAAATATTCATGTTTCCTTCGTTGTGAAACAAGGTAGTTTGATTGCCAGGACTGGAGGCATGAAGAAGTGCCTACGGCAAAAAGCACACCACAACAGAAAAAGCATCTCCAGCATGGACCTCTTCCTAAGCATCTCTCAGAAGGATACTGTCAATGCCTAAGTCTGATGAGATTACTGTGAAAACTACTAACTGTGAAAATGCACGGAACAGCAATACAAGCCACCCCACCCCCCCAAATAATCAAACCAATAGAAATAACCAAATATGGGAGACAGAGGCAAAGTGGAAGTGAGAAAGAGGAACTGAACGGGGGAGGAAAACCTCTCACAAACTTCTTCAGACACACGGGCATATGGCAACTAACAAATGCAAAATAAAAAATGGAGACAGTTGAGACTTCAGAGTTCTTTTATAGGTTCAGCTCCTGCTGCTAAGTTCAGGGAAAAAACTGTTTGTATGCCCCTGAAAGGGCAAGGTTTCCAGAAAGATTCTTAAACTTGAATACCATCACTGCTCTAAAAGGGGAAATTATGCAGAACCTGTTCTTGAAATGCTGTAAGGAAAACACATCTTCAGCTCCTGTGTGGAAAGCCATAGATTTAATTACAATTCGCTAAGAATGAAGTGTGATACGAACTCCATCAATATATTCCTTAAAATAATATTCACTTTAATGTCAGGAAGCAATATAAAGGCTGCGTGAACAAAATCAAGTTACTTCCCACACAAATAACATACAGTCTTTAGCTACATGATTACACATTATGTAAAATTCAATACAATATATTCGTGATTTGTAAGATTTTTGCATCTTAACTATGTATACTGTGAAATATTTACAGATTTTGACCACGGTATTTGTTCCTGATATAGCAGGTATTTTTATTATACCTCAGAGATTTTAATCTGTGATATATTTTCTGACAATATTACAAAGGTATTTAAACATTATTATTTCTCCGCTGCCTGTAGCTGATATGCTCGACTGGCAAATAAATAGCAGCCCCATGGTACTAAAGATCACTACAAAAGCCACACTTCCTCCTTCCTTATCTTTACTGATTGCTGTGAACTTCTTTACCTTGGCATGTTTAACATAAAACATTTCACATACAGTGCTAGGGAGAAGTGCTTATAACAAATTCAGTTAGGTACAATAAATTCCAGTTTCAAGAGTGAAAAACTATGGACGCTAAGACTCTTCACTGCACTCTGAGAATAAGTTATAACTGACAAGGCAGATAATTTCACAAGGACACTGATGAACTTGTAATGGAACTAAACACATAATTTAGATAAGATTATTAATTATTGTCACTATTAGAGATGCAAGGCTCCAGTGTGGCTAAAACCCAGCCATTAAAGCTTGTGGGGTGGGAGGAGAGTACGTTTATACCAATAAATCTTTTTCTGTCTCTGGGGACCCCAAAAACTTGAACTTGCAAAACTGAGAAGAAAGCCTTTCTCTTGAGTTTCCAGAGCATGAATAAGAATTAACTAGATATGCATTTTCCACATGCAATTTAAAATGTTAACTTTAATTAAAGAAAATATTATTAGCATTAATATACTGATGGAACTTTACTACATTGCATTTAAATATACTACCATACCTGCTGAGCCAGAGGGGGGAGGAGCACCAGCTTTCTGCCACTCGGTAGCTTCAGCAGCCATTCTGCGAACATAGGCATCATCCACGCACATCAAAATATTTTCTGGCTTTATGTCCGTATGAATGATCTTGCACTTGCTGTGTAGATAATCTAGACCTTGAAGTACCTAATTACAAAAGGATTTTGAAAAAATTTTAGTTACCCAGACCAAGATAAATGCATTTATTATCAATACAGAGATGTTCAACCAATTGCCTGGAGTCCATATATGGTCTGACAGCATAATTTATTTAGCTCATAAACCCAGTTATTGAGACTTTCTTGAGTAAGATGCTAGTTGGATGAATTGTCTTGATGACAGCAACCTGCTGTAAGACTTCCATTTCCCAAGTGTTCTTTAGTTGATCTGCACATGTGTAAAAAAAACTTGATACATCTTCCTTTGAAACAGGAATGTGGCTGCTCAGTCAGACAGCCTGATCCTCACTCATTCATTGTTTAAAAGATAGCTAGTTGAAAAAAAACCACTGCAAGTACTGCATACTGTAACTGAAGTCTGGTTTGTCAATAACCATCTTACAACTGATTATTAAAAAAAGCAAAAAGGGAAATGTGTTGTTGGGATGAAATGTTAACTATAGTTTTCCTTAGAATGCCAATAGTAATTCAGCTTTTAATGTGACCAAGACATCACATAAGGATTTATCTACCTGTATGTGTCACATGTATTTTCTACTAGTCCTTCACACTCTCTGCAGGATAAATTCTGCTAGCTCATATAAAAGCTGCATATGTGAAGTCTTAAAAATGCATTCTGGGATGAAAATTAAAACATGATTTTTACACAATTAAAAAATTTGTCAAATTCTGACTGGGACAGAAACACAATAGTTTGTGTGATTTACAAGTATTTTAGGTAAGACCTAGGTATGATAAACTGTGGAAGTCAATTATTACAATTATTCAGTAGAGAATAATGTAACAGCGTAAACCAAGCTATTGCTATAAGAGTCTACATAAATATTGTAGAAAAATATCAGCAAGAAAGAAAAAAAAGCAGAAACCTAGCTGACCCCACTGAAAAGACTTCTTTTGATTTTTAGAGAATGTTCTACAGTAGGAAACAGACCTCCAGACCCATGAGCTCCAGCTACAAGAACATCCTGCCATTCTAGGTATTTTATAAATAAATTAGCAAGCTCCTTGCTCTGAGGATCCTTTAAGATGTAACTAGCTAGGGTGAACTTTAGAAGCAAAACATGTTGGTTCAAAATACCAGTAATAGAATACAAAGACATTAGTCTGCCACCGAGTCCTGAGCTAGTACCTAAAATGGTATATCCATCCAGCACACCAGGTAGCTCAAGAGAAGAGCAGCAGCATGCATATGATATTTACACTCAGGCTAATGCATCCCAGAAACACCTCAAGTGCATGGCTCTGCTTTCCCCAGTTCTGGAGCTAGGCTACAACAGCAACCGTTCTGAAAAGCTTTCTGTATACGTCTATATAAAAACTGTATGTTCACTTGAACAGGACGCAGTGTCAGTTCAGTGCCAACACTACACCTAAAAAATGCTGCATCCTTGATAATCTGGATTTTTTTTCCTGCAGATCCAAAACATGCTTGACTACTTGCCAAAGCAACTGAAAGAACATACAGTATGTCTCAAAGTAAGAAATGTTAAAGAAAGACTGGTTTATACTGGGAAGGTAGTTAGTGGTTAAGTAACTTCAAATTTTAAGAGACTCATTAACAGCAACGGCAACATAAAGATGGATTATAATGGTACCTTCCCTCCCCCACTACACTACAGACCATCTTACAAATTACCACTGAATGTCTGTAATTCTGAGGCCAAGAAAAAAAAGATTCCAGAGTACACTGAAAGCCATAAACATTCAGAAGAGAAAAATATCTGTTCCACTGCGATATGTAGAAGTTATGTGAAACTAGATTTGGTATCTCCCACTTTAAAAAGATAGCCTTTCCCCTTTAAGTAACAGTGTTAGGGTGACAGCTTTGTCTTCATAATTTGGCTGAAGATTTTTTTTTTT